GCTACTTTTGTCTATAATAAGTAATATAATAACGACTCGCATATACCAATTACCAGCATAAGTAAAGATGACGTATATTTTTATTATACAGTTTTTTACGTTTTTCAATGTTAATTTATAATAAAAAAAAATAAAAGCAATAGTAGCCCAGCAGTGGCACGAATAATGGGCCGATGATGATTCAAATTTAACAAGTTCGGACAATCATTGCGTAAGCGTAACCAATATTCAGTCGATAATTCATTCATTCATTCATTCATATTTATCGACTGCAATCACTAGCTACTTGAGAACGGGCAACACTTTTGCGCAACGAATTGTCAAATTTTTCCATCTTCACTAAAAACGGACTATAATTACAAATAAATATGAAATAAAAGCATTTTTAATATATCAATAACCAGCCGTGATCTTTGTTCGCTATGCGTCGTTTGTGTGCTTCGTTTTTGTTTCTGGAAGAATAATTTGCAACATGTTGTTGCATTATATTTCGAATTTTTAATAAATAACACTGTATTAAACATGTGTTTAACAGCAGTACTAAGAGTAAAATTCACTAAAATATGTAGTTATTGGTACACCATTCCTTATATTCTGTATTTAGATACTTTATATTTGAGCTTTTTTTAGTTCGAAAAGTGGAAAATGCCGCTGTGCACATAGAGCGCATTATAAGTTTCCGGAACTGGTCACTTACATAAACAATATTTAAAAAGTCATTACAACATTTACAAATGCAACTCTTTGGCTGTAGAATACAGTTTGACTGTTAGTCATCTGACTGTTACTTGTTTTTACATTATAGCGTCATTTTAGAAATTGGTTGTCTACATCACCATGGATTTAACTCGTGAAAATTTTCGTAGTATGATTTTCTACGACTTTAAGTGTAATTTAACAGCTCAGCTGAGCTTCGCTTGGCTTCAAATTGCTGTTGGCGATGAAGCACCATGCAAGACGACTATTTACAGCTGGTTTGCAGAATTCAAACGCGGTCGTGTGAATCTCAGGGTCGTATTCTAGAAGTCTACTCAATTTTCAGTGCTCACTGCAATACTCAAGTCCTGACTTGAATATTGAGTAGAGTTCTGGAATAGGACCCTCAGTGACGAATTTCGTGATGGTCGCCCGTCCGCTGATGTGAACAACAACAATATCGATGCTGTGCGCCTTGTGATCAATACAGACAGACCTGTGACGTACCATGAGATTCGGGCATCTTTAGGCACAGGCATGAGTCAAATACAATCAATACTACACGAACATTTGGGTGTGAAAAAGCTGTGCTCTCGGTGGATCTCACACAATTTGACTGAGGCTCAGAAAACGGATCGCGTCACTTGGTGCAATGCCATGCTTATCAGATTCAACGAAGGGGCGTCAAATTTGGTGTGGGACATAGTAACAGGTGACGAAACATGGATTTATAGTTACGATCTCGAAACAAAGCAGCAATCGAGCGTATGGGTCTTTCGAGATGAGCCGAAACCAACCAAAGTGGAGTGCGTGCAAAGTGCCTCTAAGCGGATGATTACTTCTTTTTTAAATAAAATTGGACACGTGGCTACTCTTGCTTTGGAGAATCGTTGTACCGTGAATAGTGATTGGTACACGATCATTTGTTGGCCGGAAGTTATTGATAAACTTCGTAAAAATAACCGTAAACGCCGTATCATCTTGCACCACGATAATGCCAGTTCTCACACGGCCACACAGATAAAATGAATTTTTGAAGGTGGACAACATTGACCTTACGAGCCTTCCCGCGTACAGTCCCGACCTGGCACCTTGTGACTTTTATTTATTTCCAAAAATTAGGAACCAGTTACGCGGTCAACGATTTTCATCACCTGAAGAGGCTGTCGAAGAGTCTGAAAAATATGTTTCAGAGATTGTCACGAAAGAGTGGCATAAATGTTTTCAAAATTGGTTCATTCATATGAAAAAGTGCATTAACGCTAACGGAGAATATTTTGAGAAACAATAAATTCATTTCTGACCATTTATAGTATTTTTTTCTTATTCATTCCGGAAAGTTATAGTGCACCCCACGTATGACCATAAAATACAGCTTGGCGGCCCGCGGCGCGACGCGGCGTCGAGGTCTTGCGGTCGATATAGTACTTGAAGTCTGCACTCAACAATTCTGTACTTTCCGCCATATTACAAAGTTTTGCAATTGAATGTCAAACTTATTGTTGCCGTACCTACATGACCCATCTCATACCTTGTCGTCCTAAAATCGAATATGGATCAAATCCCGAGAACGTATAACAGCGTCTTCCTGTGTTGGATTATGGTTTAACTCTACTGAGGTCACTGGTTTTTGGGAATTCTGTGTCCAAGTCAATGACAAAAAGCTAATGCGGTAGTTGATTACAGTTACTATTTTTTGTTCATATACATAAATGAAAACAGTGAGGTTCACATGGAAGCCAACGCTAAGAATTATTGATGTCGGAAAAGCTGTCTAGGCCACGGTGTTTAGATTTTAGGTCTCCTATAACAACGATTGCGATAGTTTTACCAACATACGGCAGTGCTTGCTTTGAAATGGCAAGTGCACCTATCAAGGGTTCTGTAGGTACAAATAACCATACCACCCTGTAGGTACTATGAAGTTGTCAAATCCATTGAATGTTTTAAATTCTTGCGAATCTAGTTGCGCTTCAGTACTTACGTAATAAAGGAGTAATGTTACGGTGATGACCACAAATTAATGTAGCTACTACACATTTTGTTAGAAAATTGAGCATTAGACAGAGATTGAGTATATTATAGTGTAGAGAAATGGAGATAATAACTTCATATTGCACTACCAGTGTCATTATTACGGCTGTATCGCAGTAACGACATATATAATTTCACTTTCACCTCATTTCATCCAAGGTATTCACAAATACAGGACGTTGTTGCGTTATGTTAATACTCTGTAGAAAGGTACCTACAATTTTCTTTTAGACACTAATTGCTATTTGACCAATGTTCGTGTCGTCAGTAGAATAAATTAGGTGTTCAAAATTTCCAAAATGGCAACGGTCCGATCTAATTTAATTTTTGTCATTTCAGTCCCCGACGCGAAGTATATTTAAGTTATTTCACATACTTCAAATTTTTTAAGTATATACAGGGAATAATAATAAATGTAATCTAACTACTGGTGAAATTACAGGCACACGTGACTTGTCAACTTATGTCCCGAGGTGACGGGCGCAGTGGCAGTGCCCCTCAGATCTTTGCGATTTAAAGCTGTGAGTGGCACTGCAACTGTTATGGATAGGAGTGTAGCTTACCATCAGGCGCACGACTTGTGCGTCCCGGGACTGAATATTATAAAAAAAAACTTATCTGATGAAATTAACCAAATTGGAAATCTAATCTCGGTAGTATTACTCTTGTTAACAAAAACCTAAATCGGTTGTCTCTTACTCTTCACCACTACTTAGTAGCACTGGAGCAAAGCTGTAGAATATGCTCGACCATTCTTATTCAATCGCACTTTGATGACATTCGGGTTGTGTGTACTAGGAAAGAGAGACGCAGGCTGGGAATTCCATTCCTTGGCTATATGTATTATAAAGGACGACGTAAACCGCATAGCATGCCTGAAAGGCTGGTAGAGCTCGTGAGCACATTCCCCGAAGACAATAATCTGTTGAAAACTGACAGACAAAACTGAACTTTGTGCCGATGGGCTAAACTAGAAAGCTTAAACTCGAGGTAATTGTCACCAATAAGTCTCCTGGCTCCGAGTGAAGAACTTCTAGTTGTTATTTCACTGAGCCTGCCCATAGGTGACTTCTACTTCAAGCAAGATATGATTTGCGTTTTGCACAAGGTTTAAGCTGTCCAGGCAAGAAATACAGTTTCATGCTGTTACAAACGCCCAGATTGTCATTTTAGTGCCAAAGTTCAGATCTGCTCTGAATGTCATGCTCAGAAGCGCCAGACCGTCAGTAACAGGGACAGGTATACCTACCGTGAAAAGCGGGAGTCAGTCCAAATGGACTCTTTTTTGCCGAAGACCTTGCTTTTTAGTGACATTGAAATGATTTAGGTAGTTGTAATTAAGTTCATTCAACGTCAGGATGTTTCATTTTACCACCATGATATTCAATTATTTTTTCGTGAAATTACTCTACTAGTTGATTATAATTATTAATACTAAGATCGAACACTGAAAAAACTCCTTCGAGGCCAAGTTCGTCCGCATCACCATCTCCTCTCTTCGGCCTCTCTCAATGAATGGATAACTATCTTTCTGTCATTTCAGTTTTCCAGATACATTTCGGTAACTAAGTCGATAATAGTGCAAGTATCTTCCATCTTTACTATTTTATTATTCTGGGATTTTTACAATTGATCTCATATATGTGATAATGCATTACAAGCTGCTATAGTCTGCGTAATAGTATCATCATCAACCTATTTATATGTCCCACTGCTGGGCACGGGTCTTCTTTCAGACGAGGGTTTAGGCCATAGTCCGCCACGCTGGCCCAATGCGGGTTGGGGACTTCACATTCGTTTTTCGAGAGTTGTGAACTTTCTTCAAGGCCGATTTCATCCATAGAGTGTCATCACGATGTTTTCCTTCACTGAAAAGCTCATGATGAATTTCAAATTAAATAATAATAGTAATAGTATGTATGTTCGTAATTAATTTGTACACGTCCTCGAAACTGGCCCGTTCACGAGTGTTTCATAATTAGTTTGCCCGGTTAGTTTGAAATTATGCGGATGTAAATAATTTAATTAATAACTTTTCAGTAATATAACGTATAAAAATTATTTGAAATATTTTAGTTATATTCGTTTATACAGTACTTTCAGAGCACAAAAAGTTAGTCAAACAGAACTAATTTTTTAAAATTTCTGTGGGTAAATGTGGCTAGTATTTAAATTGTAAAATTAGAATTTTATTTACTTAAGACCAAGTCCTAAAACAGCGTACTGTAGAGGTACTCCGTCAACACTAATTGGCACTTTTCTCTTTCCAGAGAGTAACTCCGCAAAATTATTAGGCCTCGCGAGAGCTAATAGTCGCGCCTCGCGACTTCATGATCATACAGAACTTGCATGATCTGGGTCGAGGTTAAGATGGCTGCAGCTCCCGCAACGGCTTCCTGCCTCAACACCGAACATGGCTGCGTCATGTTTGACTGTCTTGCCCATCTATGGGACTGGTGAGTATTTACACTTTATCCTTCTGTCACAGTGTAGACACCCAATATCGCTAATAATAAAGCTAGTTTAATTAGATTTTTCTGACCTTTCAAAGTCTTGCCCTTGCGTGATTGACTTGTTCTTTTACAATAGTTATTGAGCACGCATTTTCATAATTTAACACAAACATTTTGCTCATTTATTAGTACAAAAACATCTATCATGCAATTTGCATCTTACTTAAAATTTGTTGCACATATACAGGGTTATTTTATAATACTAACAACCTTTCAGGATAGATTACTAACGTCATAAAGAACAACTTTTGTTCTATGACTTGTGATAAAACGTGATAAATATACTAAAAATAAACTTCTTAGTTTTTTTCGTACTATGTGTCACTTTTTAGATTTGTATTTGTTGGTAAGGTAGTAAGACTAGTAAGTTCAAACGTGCAAGCGTTCTCTCCGAGACGACTCCCGCGTTTTGTACAGAGTTATCACCGCTTGGAGCGATCTATTTAAATATTTATTTTTGTATGAAAGGAAACGATTAAGTCATGGAACAAAAGTTGTTGTTTACAATGTTAGTAATATAGTCCTGCTAGGTTGTTAGTATTTTACAAATAACCCTGTATAGGTGACTTGGTTGGGTGTATGCGTTGCGTACTTCTTGCGCACGAAGTAAGTGTCATACAAGCGTATAATAATTTGATGCCATAATATGATCTCGAGAGTTTGAGTTCGACCTCATAAAACGCATTCTATTATGTGTTCACCACAAACGTTATCACGACATTGCCGACGAGTCGAACTGATTAGGATAGATAAATAAGACTTTGATCCTCAGGCATGGAGAAAGTTTCAACGAAAAAAAGGCGATTTTCACGCCTAAATTACATTGGGTTTATACAAGTAAGTGCGTCACATCCGCGAGTGAATGAGGGAAATCGCCGTTATGGGCGAAGAAAACGGTGCTTACTTGTACGCGTCCACGACATCTGTGTAGTCTACAACTATGTGATCACTGTAAACGAATGTCGTGATTGTAATATCTATACTTCTTTTATATATCGGCAACTTGTACGTGCTTGTAGGAGAGTAGTCCCACCAGAGTTTGTTTCACGACTGCAATAGAGAGTCCACTCTTGCCACAAGACTCGCCATTGCCCATACTAGTGTCGTGTACCTACTTAGGCTGCTACCGGTTTGGCTGCATGCACGAGGTCGATTATATACAACTGCATGCAGTCGAAACCAACTGGGCTGGGAAACGCTCAGGAGCCTAGTGTATTTGTTGATGTCGAAATGGAAGCATAGATGTTAAGTTTAGCTTGTCACTGTGTTCAGAACTTTTATGATTTTGTAAAAGTTGATTTTATATTTCTCATACGATTGTTATATGAACCGTATCCAGTTTAAAATCCAAAGGTGGCTTCGAGACGAACTTTATGTACGAAGGGAGAGCTTATAGGCAGCGCTGACCTTCTCAGATTTCTTCTCGAGTCTTCTTCTCCATGAACCTCTTTTTGGCCATGAAATATTATTCGCGAAGACTTAACAAGATCTACTAATTGGCATAACTGATCTAAAGCCGAAGCTTCACGGGGCCTTAGTTTTCCTGCTTCCACCTTAAAGGGCTGTAAAGAATATAGCCCTTTGTACTAGATAGTACCCCAATCAATAGAATGTTACACGAATACATAGTGTTTCCAAGTAGAGTGATTCAACCTGAAAAGAAGTTATCAACCAATAGCCTCTTCTCGAATCTGTTTGCGATAATCAAGCTGTTTGAATTTATACCGATTAGACTTGCAGCTACTCACATTAACCCTTTGTGGGTCGCAAACACTGAATGTTGACTGACACATTAACACGTGTCCTAGATTTATAGCAAATAAACCTCAATAATCATGTTATTTCTAAATGTTTGGACCATATTATTCGCTAGTAAATACGGAAATCTAAAGTTTACATATTATTAAGTGTATATCATGGAGTTATCGACCTCTCAAGTTATCTACGTCTCTAGTTCATCTTTCGCTAATCCTGTAGCTGGTATTAAGAACTTATTAAATTGGGGACCAACTAATGTATAGATTTTTGTCTAACTCGTCCTCTTCTCTAAGCTTTTAGTACTACACAAGGAGGCTTTCCCAAAGCTTTCATAGGTTTTTAAATACAAGACCAACATTCTAATTTAAATTGTACACATAAACACATTTTCGTACTTTTGAATTGAACGTAGTAAAAGAAAGGCAAAGTCTTTTAAGAAAGTGGTAAACTTAAAATAAAACTTAACTTGTAAAAGTATATATTAACTTTGTGAACACCAAGACAGTAATTTATAAATATCTAAAATGTTAAATATTCCTTCGAAAGAATATCTTCATAGGTATACTATTTGATAAAGGCGTGTATTTTTATACGAGACTGTGAAAATAATATTTGATGCTTTGCTTTTTAACCGACTTCAAAAAAGGAGGAAGTTCTCAATTCGACTGTTTTTTTTCGTATGATGTCATGCTTTTACTCCGATATTAGTGAACCGATTTCGGTGAGTTTTATTGAAAAAGGGTACCTCAGTAGTGGTCCCGTTCAAAATTGAAAATTGAAAATATTCCACGACCATGAGTGGCAAATTAAGGAATGAAGCCGGTTTATTTCACTTCACCCTCTTTCTGTTAACCGATTTCAATAAAACCTGGCAAATAAATATTATGTAATTCCACAAACTAATGAGGTCGGTTTTTTTTATAAAAAAAGCTATAATCACATTGATGTTAAAGTATCTATGTATGAGTACATTGAGTAAGGAAATTAGCTTTGCTTTACAATTAGGAACATGCCTTATAAAGTCCGTTAAAATCACGCCTACATTAGTTAATATGATAACTCAATTAACCAGAGCAGAAAGCATTATGAAGAGACACTTGAGATTTGAGTGCGCCTGGTTTTAAGGTCAAACGCTCTTGGCAATGAAGCTATGAACTTAAGGACTCTTCTCTCGAGTCGCTCAAGCTTTTTGTATATTAGACTAGTCGGCAATAAATGCTTTATGTGTTTAGTGATTATTTTTTAACTAGCTACTGAATGTATAGAAAATAGTACACGCTTTAACAGAAACGACGTCTGCAAACCACAAGTTTTGTTTTGAGGGCATTAAGAGGTTATATTTAAAGGTTAATATAAATATATATTTAAAGGTTATTAATTTAAATAATCGTTTTAGATTTGCAAAAGCATTAGGCAAAAAACCTAAACGGTCATCTTATTTAATGATTGATCCTTTTTCTCTGCGAGGTATAATAAATTAAATCGATGATTTTTAAATCGAATTGATTATTTTTAATCTGTTCTGAGCTAATGTTTGATTTGTATAAAACAAACGAGCATTAAAAAACTTGAAACCATGTTCGGAGACGTATGCAAATTCGCTTCTGACACTAGGTAGCCGCTGCCGCGACACGCTCGCTTCCCTCGTGCTGCCTTTTCATATACTAACCTAAGCTGTGACGATACGATCTCTTTTATCCCTACTTTCTATCACCTTTTCTATGGTTCCTGGCCGCCTACTTTGAAAATTCGAATCGTTCGTTTATTAATTTTCTTCGTCACTCTTATTTTTCTTCTTTCCGTCGCCACTCTCTACTAAATATCCGAAGCGAGCACACGTGCTCGCCTTCATATAAAATTCTGACCAGTTATACATACCATAGAAAATCATGTAACTTAACTGCTTGTAAACTAATATTTATAGAAAATACAGGCCCTTTTGGGATAAGTTCCTTTTTACCTGTTAACCTGTATATAATTTAATTAGGGAGTGTTTTTATGTGATTGTACCTGTGTTTATACCGTTATTCTGTTTTTTTACAGCCTTTACTTTACCTTTTTTCCTTTTCCTATTTTACAATAAATGATGTGGACCGAGCCTTTCATTTGATTATTCAAAACCCTCGGCCACAAACCTAACCTAATCTACTGAATGGGGAGTGCGCAACCAAGATTTGACCATTTGACCTATATGAAAAAAGAGGATCAAATATTATTTTTGACTATCAAGTATTAATTTAGTAAAATAATGATAATCTTACCTTGAATGCTTTTTTTATAGTGCGCCTGATGGTAAGCTACACGCCTGTTCCTAACAGTTGCAGTACCACTTAGAGCTTTAAATCGCAAACTTCTGAGGGGCACTGCCACTGCGCCCGTCACCCTGAGACATAAGTTGACAAGTCCCATGTGCTGTAATTTCTCCAGCACACTTACCCTTCAAAACCGGAACACAGTGATGCCAACATTACTGCTTGGCAGCAGAAATAGGTGAGGTGGCAGTACTTCCCTCTACTGCTAGCATATACGAACGAATTAACTAAATACTAATATAGACGAATTGAATTTAAATAATATAGACGGAACAGTTAATATATGTATACGAGTACCTAACATAAAAAAATATAGTTTATTGAAAGAAGTGCACATTTACAATAGATCAATTATATTTTTGAGAATCAAATAATATTATTCCATTGAAAAGGTGGAATCGATTTCACTTTTGGCTGGAGCTGACTGACTCTGTCATAAAATTGTATGAAACTAAAAGAAAAAGGCAACCGGAAGGCATCCATTCAACCGATGTGCACGGCACAACGTTTCTATGGAAGGAAATGAAAACGTAGGTTTTACTGCCGCCGACACAAATTGGCAATATCACTGAGCAGACTTGGAGAAAATGCGATTATGTGTACATATTGCATCCTTCAGACAATTTTATTTTAAGGCATGACCTGATTACGCCTACCTCGGTGTCTCCTATCCACGAAAAACTTCGTATTAGGTACATATTTTCTATTGACCCAAATACGTAACGCTATAATGCATTATTTAACATACGAGTAGCAGGCCAATATTGTTTATTTTCTTTTAATTTTTTAAATTATATTTTGTTATTTAGATTTTAATCTTTTAACTTGAATTTCGTAATTTTAGAAAGTGTTAATTTTACTTATGATTGTATT